AAACAAAGCTCAAAGATAGTAAAAAGAAGGAAATAACAGAAATTAGAGCAAAAATAAATGAAATAGAGACTCAAAAGACAATAGAAAAGATCAATGAAACTAAGAGCTGGTTCTTTGAAAAGATAAACAAAATTGAGAAAACTTTAGGTAAAATCACCAAGAAAAAAAGAGAGAAGATTCAAATAAAATCAGAAATAAAAGAGGAGGTGTAACACTAATACCACAGAAAAACCAATGATCATGAGACTACTATGAACAATTGTATGCCAAAAAACAGAAAATATGAACAGACCAATTACCAAAAAGAGGATTAAGTCAGTAATTTTAAAACTCCATACAAATAAAAGTCCAGGGCAAGACAGGTTCACTAGTAAATTCCACCAAACATTCAAAGAAGAATTAACATCAGTCTTTCTCAAACTCTTCCAAAAATTAGAAAGGAAGGAACACTTCCAAATTCATTTTATGAGGCCAGCATTACCCTGATACAGAAACCAGACAAGGATACTGCAAGAAAAGAAAATTATAGGCCAATATCCCTGATGAACATAGTGCAAAAATCCTCATCAAAATATTAGCAAAATAAATTCAACAATACATTAAAAGATCACACAGCATGATCAAGTAGAGTTGTTTCCAGAGATGTAAGAATGTTTCAACATCTGCAAATCAATTAATGTGATACACCACGTCAACAAACTGAAGGATAAAAAGAATATGATCATCTCAATAGAAGATGCATAAAAAGCATTTGACAAAATTCAACATCCATTTATGATAAAATCTCTCAACAAATTGGGCATACAGGGAATGTACCTCAACATAATAAAGGCCATATATGACAAGTCCATATCTAACATCACACTCAATGGTGTAAAGCTGAAAATGTTTCCTCTAAGGTCAGGAAAAGTCAGGGATGCCCGCTTTCATCACTTTTATTCAACACAGAATTGGAAATCCTACCCGCAGCAATTAGGCAAGAAAAAGAAATAAAAGACATCAAAATTGGAAAGGAAGAAATAAAACTATCACTATTTTCAGATGAAATGACTTTATATATAGAAAACCTTGAAGACTCCACCCGAAAACTGTTAGTACTAATAAACAAATTCAGTAAAGTTGCAGGATACAAAATCAGTATACAGAAATCTGTCGCATTTCTAGACACTAATAACAAACTATCAGAAGGGGAAATTAAGAAAGCAATCCTAATTTACAATTACATCAGAAAGAATAAAATACCTAGGAATAAATTTAACCAAGAAGGTGAAAGACTTATACACTGAAAACTATAGGATAATGATGACAGAAATTGAAGAAGACACAAATAAATGGAAAGATAATCTGTGCTCATAGATCGGAAGAATTAATATTGTTAAAATGCCCGTACTACCCAAAGCAATCTAGAGATTCAATATAATCCTTATCCAGATCCCAATGACATTTTTCATAGAATAGAACAAACAATTCTAAAATTTGTGTGGAACCACAATAGACCCCAAACAGCCAAAGCAATCTTGAGAAAGAAGAACAAACCTGGAGATATCATAATCTCTGAGTCCAAATTATACTACAAAGCTATATTAATCACAGCAGAATGGTATTAGCATAAAAATAGACACATAGATCAATGGAACAGAATAGAAAGCCCAGAAATAAACCCATGCATATAAGGTCATTTATGTTACAACAAAGGAGCCAAGAATATAAAATGTGGAAAGGACAGACTCTTCAATAAATGGTGTTGGGAAACTGGACCACTGTCTTACAGCATATACAAAAACTAACTCAAAATAAATTAATGACTTGTATGGAAGATCTGAAACCACAAGACTCCTAGAAGAAAACATGGGTGGTAAGTCTTAGTGATGATTTTTCGGGCTTGACACCAAAAGAAAAAGCAATAAAAGCAAAAAGAAAAAATAAATGGGACTACATCAAATTAAAAAGCTTCTTAACAAAGGAAATCATGAACAAAATGAAAAGACAACCTACCGAATTGGAGAAAATATTTTCAAATCTTGTATCTGATAAGGGGTTAATATCCAAATACCTAAGTAACTCATACAACTTAATAGCAAAAAACCAAACAATTCAATTAAAAAAAAAGGCAGAGGATCTGAATAGACATTTTTCTAAGGAAGACATACAGATGGCCAATCAACAGGTAGGAGAAAAGATGCTCAACATTACTAATCATCAGGGAAATGCAAATCAAAACCATGGTACGATATCACTTCATCCCTATAAAATGGCTATTATCAAAAAGACAAGAAATAATAAGTGTTGGTGAGGATGTGGCAAAGAGAACCCTTGTGCACTATGGGTGAGAATATAAATTGGTGCAGCCACTATGAAAACAGTATGGCAATTCTTCAGCTAATTAAAAATAGAACTACCATATGATCCAGGAATTCCACTTCTGGGTGTTTATCCAAAGAAAATGAAAACACTAACTCGAAATGATATATGCACCTCACTGTTCATTGCCACATTATTTACAATAGCCAAGATATGGAGAAAACTTAAGTGTCCATCAATGGATGAATGGATAAAGAAAATGTGGTGTGTGTATATATGCATATATATACATATATTTATTTATATTTTATTTATATTTATATTTATATATATTTATGTATTTATATATATAAACACATACAGGATGTATATATATATATATATATATACTTTGTATATATACTATATGTATTTGTGTATATATATATACAGTGTATATATACTATATATATATATGTATATATACACATACACTGGAATATTATTCAGCCATAAAAAATGAAATCTTACCATTTGTGACAACATGGATGGAGCCTGAGTACATTATACTGAGTGAAATAAGTCAGACAGAGTAAGACAAATACTGTAAGATCTCACTTCCATGTGTAATCTAAAAATAAATAAATAAAAAGTAACAAAATCAAGCTCATAGATACAGAGAACAGATTGGTAGTTGCCAGAGGTGAGGTGTGGGGGCAAAATGGCTGAAGGGAGTCAAAAGGTACAAACTTCCAGTTATAAAATATATAAGTCAGTGTGGTGAATATAGTTAGTAATACTGTGTTACATTTTTTAAAGTTGCTAAGAGAATAAGTCTTAAAAGTTCCCATCACAACAGGAAAAAAAAATTTGTAACTATGTGTGGTGATGGACGTTAACTAGACTTGTTGTGGTGATCATTTTGCAATATATACAAATATTGAATCATTATGTTGTACAACTGAAACTAATATAATGTATGTTAATTATATCTCAATTATAGAAAAAGAAAAAAAATATTATTGCCTGTGATTACTTGGAAATAGACAAGTTACTTAACAAACTTATGACTTTGTCCAGTTCCTGGTAAGACATAGTGTTGATAACTTGGTTGCTTTTAGCTGCATTTCTTAAGCTTCAGAAAAGGATTGGTGTGTTTTCCAACAGGATGAAAGAGAAAGGAGAGAATCCAGACATTCTGTGTCTAACAGGGTGAAAACATGACAGTTACTCATCTTTGTTTAGTGGCCCTTGGTGAGGTTAATCTATCAAAGACTAGAATGAAAGACTTGGCTTTGGAATCAGATAGACCTATTTTCACATCCCAGCTCAACCCTTTATTTGCAATATGGTATGGTATATCAGTTAAGAAAGCTGGTTTATGCTCTGGTTATAAATAACTCCAAGAAGTCAGCAGCTTAAAATAACAAAGTTTCTTTCTTAGTTAGGCCACGTATCCAACATGGGTGAACTGGGCACTCTGCTCATCACAGTCCTAGTCACTCAGGGTTCCACACTGATGGAGTCTCCAGTTCACCATATACTTCTATTGGGCAACATATTTGTAAAATGGTAGTATATTTATAATATAAAAGTATATTTAAGTATATAAATATATATTAAAAATAGATAAATGTGTGAGTGACTTTAAGAAAATAAATAAACCAGTATGGGCAACAAGGCAGTCTGAACATATTGAGTAAAGGCAACCTCATTCCTGCTTTCTTAGAGCCAGTGTGAATAAGATGGTAGAGTTTAATGGGAGTGCTAAATTTCAAGCAGGATTACTAGCATCCAGCTACAGTGACATTTAATCCACAATTTAAATATTTGTGCATCATTTATGTTTACGTCTTAATATTTATTAAAACCTAGGTATTTTTATTGATTATCTTTTTAACTCCTTTAATACCTCTAATGGCAACTGAGATACCAGGCACTGTGGTAGACAATAATTGATGATAGATGAGGCATAGTCCCTGACCTCAGTCAGTTTATAATCTCTAGAGGACCCATTGCAATAGCATAAGCCACGGCAGAGTTAAGTGCCACAGAAGACTCACAAAGCTCTAAGGACACATGGAGGGCTCTGCTAGAGAAAGGCTTGTGTATCGTAATGGTGGTGTTTTGCTTTTTATTTTGCCAGAGTTTGTTTTTAAAGTTTCATGACAACTTCATCTGGACTTATTCTTAACTGAAAGGTCTAGACTATAACTAATAATAACTAATATATGTAGAGCTTCAAACATGTGCCCAGCGTGTTCATTGCACCTTTACGCATGATCTCATTTAACCCTAACAAAGAGCCTTTGGGGCAGATGTTATTCTCCTATGTTAAAGATGAGCAAAATCAGGCTAAAAGGTTAAGAAATTTACTCAAGTTGGCAAGCCATAAAGTAGAACTGGAACTTGAAACCAACTAGTTTTAATCTAAAGCAATACTTTTGACCACAATGCTATGTTACTTCTTTTGAAGTCTGTAGAGAAAAAAAAGATTTCCACTTTTAATCTGTTCTAATTGGCTGCCCTTTCAGAGATTCTGATTTCTTATTTGTCCACCAAATTCGGAAATTCTAGGTGTCTTCCCTTAAAATGAATTCTCACAGTTTTGGATTTTTTTTTTCTTATAACTGAGGCCCACAGCCCTGGTAGAGAACAAACTTTTGGAGCTCAGAGTCTCTCCTTTCCTCTCTTTTTAATACCATTTATTTTTCCCTTAGGTCTCTACAGAAGAAGGCTTGAGCCTGGCCCGAGAATATAACTGTGCTTTTTTTGAGACCTCTGCAGCCCTCAGATTCTGCATCGATGATGCCTTTCATGGTTTAGTGAGGGAAATCCGCAAGAAGGAGTCCATGCCATCCTTGATGGAAAAAAAACTGAAGAGAAAAGACAGCCTGTGGAAGAAGTTAAAAGGCTCATTGAAGAAGAAGAGAGAAAACATGACATGATATCCTTGCTTCTAACTCTCTTACTCTCGCTCTGAATTTTATCAGCTGGACAATTCCAAATGTTGCATTCTGCTTCAATATTCTCTGTCTTTCTGTCTGTCTCTCTCTCTTTAAATATCTGCCTATAGGTTAAAGCAAGATATGCATAACTGTACCTTTTGAGAGAGTTTTGTTTTGCCCTTAACAGTTAGATGGATTTTGTCAATCAGCTGGATATGCTGTTTAGTTTTTACAATGTATTACTAAATAAAACTGACATTCCAATTGCCTCATTTCCCCTTAAAGAGTCTAGCTTCATTTGGTATGCTGTCTGGTTATAGAGGAAATATTCGAAATTGCAGACAGAATGATAAAAGGCTCAGGGGATCTGCCTTTGCCTGATAAGACTCCCGTTGTTTGCATTTCAGGAATCTCAGTAAATAATGAAGAAGCTCAGGAAACAATTCAGAGCAAGAGTCTGCAGCCTGGTCCTTCCTTAAGTGTCGAAGTCGTGGTACTTTTCCGTGGTACATTCCTCTGGGTGCTCCAGAGATGAACTTTAGAGGAATTATTAATAATAGGAACTGTTTGTGGGTCATTGGAGGGCTGAAATGAAATATCCTCATATTTACAGCGCTCTGTCCCTTAGGCTTTGGCAAAATTATCACAGGAAGTCACTGGGCTGCAGCAAAGGATATTCTCTTTGTAGCAGGAAAGCAGAGGCTAATATGAATTTGGTGGTTCATATACCCATAAAAGGACACCCCGCTCCCTCTCAGGGAGGAGTCCCTCTTAGGACTGCTTCACCTGCCTTAGGACCATCTGCAGTGCAAGAGGCTTGTTGACTCCAGAGACCCTATGTTATTCTTACATTGCCAAAATGGCCCCTCTCCTCCTGCTTGAACTATGAAACGCCACCAGTTAGAGGGCTTTTGTTCTTATTTGTTTTACAGTGAACTATTGTGTAAGATGAAATTGCCCATTCACTCATGTATCCCATTGTGTGAATTGGTTTATGCAAATTCAAGCTCAGAAAGCTTGATTCTGAGAAATCAGAAAGAACTATTGCGAATGTTTAATGGACAAGTGTTAAAAGGAAACCATAAAGAACAGACAGCTAAGCATGAGATGGCATCCATTAAAACAATCTTCATGGGTTAGGGACAGTTTTTATCATAAATTAGAGAAAAGGAAGGATGAAGGGCATAGTTATCATTCAACATGCAAACACTTATTCTTTTATTCACAATTCTCCAGCATTTGCTAATCTCTGGGAATGCAGAAATGAATCAAGGTAGTTTAACACGTAGTTGGAGGACTCGCTTGGCTGAAGATCAGTGGGATTATAAATTATTATATGACATATTTTACATGGAAACATATATACAACTGAAAGAAATTTAGAGATTATAAATTTTCAACTGGTGGACTAAAATTTCAGCCTTTCAGAATATTGTGCTTGTGGCTCCTTTTACTGCTTGGGACCAGGGCCTTTCTCAAATCCAAACAGACCTCAATTCTTACTCCTAGGCCCTGGGATCAAGTCACTCAGCATGCAATTACCATTTGTTAGGAACTGCTGCCACTCTATCCCTTTGCATTTTTCTCAACCCTCATCTTCTATAGGCACAAACTAATCAATTTTCCCATCCCATATTGCCCCTAAAACCACTATAACTTTTCATTCTAAGGTATTCAAAATTAGGGAGAGAAAACGCAAAATATTTAAAAAATACATATGGAGATGATCTAAAGAGAGAAAGATTCTTAGAGTCAAAGAACTGGTCTTTGGTTCCTCCTTTCCTTGGTTCTAAATGTTTAATACTCTGCTTTCATCCTGTTAAAATGGGTTAGTACATTCTTTGCCTCCTGTATGTTCTTTTCCCCCTACAACCGCTGACCCTAAGAACCCTTCCAAGCTGGGGAGGACCGTGTGAATACTGCCTTCCATCAGGCTCTTCTGTTTGCCAGAAGATGAAATCTAGGAAACATAGTAGTTGGAACTTAGTTTCGTATGATGAACCTACATCTTTGGAAACCTGATGACTGCCATCAATGGATACTAATAGTGTTGGTGCATATCCTAACACAACTAAGTCTTTGTAAATTTTATTTTACTGCCAGCTACCCTGCTTTTGGCTCTAGGGTTTTATATCTCATTTCTCTCATTCTTTCTCTGTCTCTACATGCCTCAAATCCTGATAAATAATTTACAGAGTTTAGAAATTTTTAGTGAGGTTTAGATCGAGGAACAGTTATCAAGTCCGACCATTTCATTCTGTAAAAGGAAGGGGTTCTGTCACTTATCCCCTGGTGGGCTGTACAAATTTAAGACAGTTCTCACCAGCAGAGCTAGAAGCAGACTTCAAGCATTCTTTTAAACTAGTCTTCCTTTTAGAAGACTGGGCCCGAAGGAAATGTTCCAGAAGAATAAAACCTAGGTATTTCTGACCAAGGGCTGTTGATTGACTCTCTTTGGCATAAGACCAAAGTGCCAGGATCTCATTTTTGATTACTATTCCTGAAGACTTCTAACAAGATCTAGGATATTTAAGTGAATCTCAAACGCTCAGGGAAGTGAACCACAATGTACATATGCCTACATTACCAAGGGAGTGTCAAGAAACTGTTGAAAATAAGCATTCGTGTCCAGTGTAGATGAGTGTGTAGTTGCCCGACACAATTTATCAAACAGTGACTAAATGCCTACTATGTACCAAGCACTTTTCTAGATACCACACTCATGTGTATGTAAGGGTGTGTGTGTGTATGTGTGTGTGTGTGTTTGGTGAGGTACTCAGCAATTGTAAATTCAGTTTCTGCCCTCTAGGACTGTATCACCTATCTATTTTTAGGTATTTGTCATTAACTTATCTCATGATAAAATAATTTTTCAGATCAGAGACAAAAGGCAGTCTAAAATATTGTATTTTGTGTTCAGTAGGCCCTACTTGAGCCTGGGAACTTCTGTAGAAAATACCAGTGAAGAAAAAACATGGACTTTTGGGCCAAACATATTCACATCACACTCAGGTGTTCAAGGAGCAGATAGCTGCTTGATTTCTCTATAGTTCATCTCTTCTTTCTCATATTTTTTGTTTCATTTTGTTGTTCTTAGTGTCGTCCAGTCAATTCTGACTCCTAGTGACCCTGTGTACAACAAAGCAGAACCCTGCCTGGTCTTTCGCGTCATCCTCTCACCTTCCGATGCTGTATCAGACAACGCTCCATTGCTGTGCATAGGGTTTTCATGGCGAATTTTCTCAGCAGTGCTTGGTTGGGTTCTTCTTTCTAGTCTGTCTTAATCTGGAAGCTCTGCTGAAACCTGTCCACCATGAGTCACCTTGCTGGTATTTGAAATAACCATGGCATAGATTTCAGCATCACAGCAACACACAGTATGACAACCTATAGATGGGTGGTGTGGGTCCCTGAGCTGGAAAGGAACCCGGGCTGAGGCAGTGAGAGCACTGAATCTTAACCATTAGACCGCCAGGTTTGGCTTTCTCATGAGCCTCTGACTAATGGGTAGCTGGGGACAGGGAAGAATAAATTTTAGTTCAATTCAGCAATTTAGTGCTAATTTGAAGAAATAGTTTAAGAAATATCTTTAAATAACACAGCCTCTGCTTGGTGCACTTAGGTCAGGCTTTGATCATTCAAAGTTCTGCCCTATTTACTCTCTTTCGAGAAGTCGCATCTGGGTATGGGGGAAAGGTGTGGCTTATGTGATCTCATGACAGTAGAATCCCCTCCTCTAATCTTCTAAATCCCACAGTATCCTCTGTGTCCTCTTTGATCATTTTAACCAAGGGTCTAGACTGGTTTTGTGGGGTTTTTGTGGTGAGGAAGATTGGCCCTGAGCTAACACCTGTTGCCAACCTTCCTCTTTTTTTGCTTGAGGAAGATTGTCCCTGAGCTGACATTTGTGCCTATCTTCCTCTATTTTGTATGTGGGACACTTCCATAGCATGGTTTGATGGGCAGTGTTTAGATCCGAGCCTAGGATCCAAACCTGTGAACCCCAGGCTGCCGAAGCAGAGCACACAAACTTAACCATTATGCCACCGACTGGCCCTAATTTTTTTTTTTTTAATTTTACTTTATTTTCATGAAAACACTTGACATTGGATCTACCCTCTTAACCAGTTTTTAAGGGTACAGTATATTATTGCTGACTATAGGTACAATGAAGGACATCAGATCTCTAGAGCTTATTCATCTTGCTTAAAACTTTATGCCCTTTGATTAGTAACTCTTCATTTCCCCCTCCACTCAGCCCCTGGCAACCATTTGATTCTGTTACTGGACTGGTTGACTTTGAGGTGTGTTGAACATAGGCAAGTGGGGCGATAATAAATAGGCACTTTCTGTTGGAGTCCATGAACTTGCCCCTTTGCCTTTGGGTCTCAAAGTCCTTCCCAACACAGTCTCTTTATTCTGAGCTCAGGTCTTTTCCAGTCCACCTCTACCAGCACCTTTGCCTCTCTTTGGGATTCCTGCATGTCACACTCAGGCCGTGTGGGTCCCTGAGCACTGCCTCAATAAATCTGTTGCAGCTCTCTACCCAACTTCTGTCTAGCTCATGTGGGGCTGCCCCAAGGAATCCAGCTTACTCCTAGTATTCCCTGGCAAAAGTGATAGACAAGCATAGACCAATCAGAATGGAGATCAGCTGCAAACAATAAGTGTACCCTTGACCATGGAAATTTGGCCACTAGCCCCAGTGTTCTCAAACTTTCTAGTGGTTGTTTGTAAGCAACTTCCCACCCTTAGTCACCCTGAAGGGCCTAGGGTGGGGCATTAGGGAGAGGTCCTGATATATGGCCCATTTTTCATTAGTGTGTCTTTTCCAAGCCATCTGCTGGAAGGGAGTAGGGTACATGCTTTGCCTTTCTCTAAGTAAGGCTTTAACAATATGCTGTCATCTAAAATAAACAAGAAAACAGAATTTGATAGTCAAAGGTGAGAAATGACTTCTTTGTTTTAGGTGGCTTCCGTTCTGCTGAAGCACCAAAATCTGTTGCTTCAAAAGATGGAAACCCATCTCAATAAAGACGTTATTTATTTATTTTTTTAAAAAGAAAGTCATGTGTCAAGAAAATTTCAGGATAGGGGAGTATATCCAGAAATATTTCAAAACATAATCATCCCTGTCACACATGCAAAGTCTAAGAGTCAACCTTCTGACCATTTTTATGTATGTTAAAGTTGTAGTTCTTCTGGTTTGGGTCTTTACATGATACTAAGAGCTTTCCTAAAAGTTACCAGGCCTAAATCCTCTACTGTCAGC